GGAAAATAGCTCAGGAGACCTCAGAGCACCCGCCTTGCAATGTGACCCCCGAACACTTTCTGCCTTACATCGCGGCCATGTGGTGTTGGCTTGGTCCTGACTTGATACTAATTATCTATCACTGCCTAACAAATCACATTAAAATTTAGCCACTTAAAACAACCAGAATTTGGGGCACCTGGGTGGCTCAGTTGTTAAGCGTCTGCCTTCGGCTCAGGTCATGATCCCAGGGTCCTGGGATGGAGCCCCGCATCGGGCTCCCTGCTCAGCAGGAGGCCTGCTTCTCCCTCTCCCATTCCCCCTGCTTGTGTTCCCTCTCTCGCTGTGTCTCTCTCTGTCAAATAAATAAAATCTTAAAAAAAAAAAAAAAAAACCAAAATTTATTAGCTCTGTCTCTGAGTCAGAAATTCAGGAGTAGTTTGGCTGGGTGGTTGTTGCATGAGGTCTCTGTTTTAAATTTAGCTTAAATTCTTATTTAGGTATGGCAAGGCCAACAGATAAGGAAGCAATTGTCATTGAAAAGATAGTTTGTTAATCACAGATCCCAGACAAGCAGAAGGACAGAGTGGAGTTGGCCTTTTGGGAGCTGGAACCAGGGACCTAAAAAATTTCCTTCCTTCCCTCCCTCCCCCCTTCCCTCTCTCTCTCTCTCTCTCTCTCTCTCTCTCTCACACACACACACACACACACACACACACACACGAGTCACTTTTCTCTGTGCGTGGCTCCACTCTCAGCTATAACCAACCCCAGTCTGCTCTGAATTCACATCCTTGCAGCCTCTTGAACAGAAAAGAAAATCCTGGCCTCTGACGGAGCCCTGGCCCCTGGCCAGCTGCTCTCTGGGATGGGTCAGGGAAGGACCCTGATGGACCCAGCTCCGTTCTCGCGCTCCCCCAAGCCCTGGGCCTGGGTCACAGGGGTCCGGAGGACAAGACCCGCTAGCAGCAGAGGGTGGTGGGGGCTGGGGGTGTGCAGGAAGAGAAGCACGGGGACATTGCCAGCCTGCAGCTGGGCGGCCATCCCAGTGTGCGCGCCGAAGTCGGAGTTGCCCTATTTTGGAAATAACAGGAAAAAATCAACTGCTCCAAACTCTCAAAATGGTGACTTTCCACAGATGTGGCCTCACCAGTGGGTCTATTCCAAGACAAGCGTACTGAGCCTGAATCTTCAAGAAGCCACCTTCTCCTTGTTGACACACCCTCAAGCCAGAATCCAGTCTTGCTGACAAGGCAGATGATGGGTGAGCCAAACAGCTTCATTTTATTTTCTCCCCTGGGCGCTGCTCTTAAGAACAAGGCTCGTGAAAGTAAGTCGAAGAGGCAGCAAGCAAAGCTCATGCCCCCAGGATCCTGGGCTAGCTTCCTGATCTTGTGGGCGATCCCATCTAGAGATAAAAAGGCTTCCCCATCACCCTGCCCGAAGTCCTCCAACGGGAAGATTCGAGCTCAAGTGTCGTTTCGTTGCCAAAAACACCTCCCAAACACTCAGCATTTCGCGGGGAGGGAGGGTAAATGTTTCTGTAGCTTAGCTCTGACCTGTTTGTTTTCTCATCTGTAAAATGGAGGCTTTAAGAGCTGCCAAGTGTCTGGCTATAGGAGGTGCTTGGTAAAACAATGGGGCACTTTGTGACCAGCGGGATGACAGGAGAAGAAATAGGCCTGTAGAGGATTGGCCGCTTGTCCCTGGCTGCGGCATGGGGTAAGGGTCCCAGGGTCCCAGACCAGGGCAGGGAGAGTCCTCAGACACCCACAGGGCCGGGTAGGGAAGAGGCATGGGGGGGGGGGGGGGCTGTGGTGGAAGGAAGCCCAAGTCAGAGTCATCTGGGAACCCTAACAGAGCTGGGAGAAAGTGGTGGAGGCAGGATGCAGGGTGGGATGGAACCAAAGGCAGTGTTGTTGTGGGGGCGGGTGAGACCCACAAGCTGAGACCTGAACCCAAGACCCTGAAGCGGCCTCGAGATGTACCCCTGAGGTCTGGGGTCACTCCCTGCACCCCCATCCCCACCCTCCCAGAGCTGCCTGAGGTGAACCAACATCGGCCCCCTTAATGCCACCCCATCCAAGTCAATGGCAGCTCCTCGAGGACCGGGAGCCCTGGGAGAACTGGAGCTTTTACTCTGTAACCAGCGGGGCGCAAGCCCAGTCAGCAGTCCCTGACTGTTCCAGTCTTCACATGGGAACTAGCCCCACTTCTGCCCCTGACGGGCTGGAAGCCCAACCTTTCTCTTAGGGTTCCTGTCCCCCCATATAATTAGAGGGGTCATCAGAGTTACCAAGCCCCTGCAGGTAACTGCAGTCACCCTATGCCAGGATATAAAAAAATCGTGGCTCAAGCCTCCTATAGCAGAGTCATTCCAAGCATAGGCTGTGGGGCCGGAGAGCCTGAGTTCAAATCCTGCCATGGTCTCTTAACCAGCTGTCTGGCCTTGAGCGGGTTACTTCACCTCTCTAGGCCTCAGTGTCCTCTCTGTAAAATGGGGATATTAGTAGCATCTACTAGGCAGGTTCTCCTGTGAAGACTAAATGAGTTAATATATGAGAAGTGCTTGGGACATTGCTTGGAGAAAGCTCAACCTTGGGGGGATCCCTTGTCACCTCTCTAGCTGGAGGGGCTCCCAGCCTCTCCCCAGCTGCCCAGACAGGGGCCCTGCCACTCCCCAGGATCCCTCCTCCTGGCTGCAGGGAGCCTCTTCCACCCACCTCCTTGGGGCCACGGAGCTGCACAATCGAAATACCCAGCCCAGTTACCCCACAGAAGATGGAAGCTGTTGGTCACAGGAAGCTTTCAAAAGAGCAACTTTCCTCCTGCTGCCTTGGGACCCACAGGATGCCCGACGGTCCCCCAGGCCTGTTCTGTGGCCTCCTTATGGCCGCTGTCCTGTCTGCCTGCGCTGTGAACCACCGCGGCCCAAGGGTTCTGCGCTCCCCACCACAAGCCACTGGCTGGGGCTGCCTGCCCCCCTCACACCAGGCAGGGTTGCGAGTTGAACATGCTCTGGGGGAGGCTAAGAGGACACGGGGGCACTGAGGAGGCGCACAGGCCTCAGCCCTGCCCTACAGGCGCCTTGGGCAGGCTCATGATGCAAGCAGGACCACAGACTCTGCCCCCAAGCCAACGGGAGCTTCAGGGTCCCACCCCTGTCCTCTCGGGGACCGATGGGCCCTTCCTGGTACATTCCACCCAAAGAGGCCCGCTGTCCTCTAGAAACCCAAACTGCCAACCGGCCCCCCAAACCCAAAGCACACAAGACTCCCCGCACGAGGCTCTGCTTGAAGTCCATTGAGCACGGGCTCCTCTGAGGGGCAGCCAGGCCTCCAGCCTGGGAATGTCATACCCGCCTTCCTCAGTGAACCCCTCTCCGGGCCTCAGTTTCCCCATCTGTAGGGTGAGGGTATTGAGTTCCACGATTCCCACAGCCTCCTGAGCACTGGGGCTACTCTTCCTCCATGTCCTCTTTCACGTCATCTTCCTGCTCAAGGTGGAGCCTGCGGTGGCTCCCCAGTGCGCTGGGATCAACTCCTAGTCCTCCCTGTGGCCAGCAAGTCCTCTACGGGGGAGGCCAGTGTCCCTGCCCACTCCCCCAGGCGCCTCAGCTAGCCTCTGGCACCTGCCGACTCCTGGGTCACTCCTGCTCCCTGCACTGGCCTCCTGCTCTCCCCTCTGGCCCCCAACTCTCTCCCACGTCTCGCCGGGGACCACCCCTGAGAAGCCTGGGAGTCCCTCGGACTGGGTTTGAACTCTGCCTCTCCTGTTTGAGCCGTGTGGCCTTGGACAAGTCGACTTACTGCCTCACTCTTCTGAGTTTGGGTTTCCTCCCTTGAGGGGGTTAGATGAGATAACTAAGTCCCCACACAGGGCCAGCACGGTGGCGGGGGGTCGGGGCACCAGGCCTGTGAATTCAGGCAGGCCTCTGATGGAAGACACCAGTCAGACCGACTGGGCTGATGGGCGCCAGCTCGCTGCCAAAGCAGTCCGCCCTTGCTGGTGTTGGCACATGGATTCTGACAGGTAAAGCGGATTCAGCCACCTCACCCGGGGACAGGAGGACAGAAAGGAACCAGATCTGATCTCTGACCTCACAGGAGGGTGGTTTGAGGGGAGATAACTGGGCAGGCCAGGATGCCCCCCGAGTGGAGCCAGCGGTGGTGGGCAGTGAGCGGGTCGGGAGTGCTGGCAGGGATCGCAGGGACCAAGGCAGGGAGGGGCAGCAGGTGAAGTGGGCAGGGCGGGGCGGGGGGAATGTTCTGGAGGGTGGAGAGTTCTTACGAGCGGAGGCCTGGCAGGCTCGTCAGGCTGTGGACTTTGTCTGCAGGGCAGCAAGGAGTGCCTGGCAGTCTGGAACTGTCCGACTCCACCTTGCTCCATGAGCTCATAGGAGGTGCAGGCCAGCTGGGGGAGCCAAGCAGGAGGCGGCCACAGCTTTTCAGGATGGACAGATGGGCTAGGATGGGCAGGTGGCAGGACACTCCCACCGGCGGCTGACAGAGGCTCTCCGGAGCTGAGGGGGATCGTGCATCCTCCTTCCGTCCCCAAGCAGCCGGGCCACCAGGAGCTCCAGGCTTGCCTTCAGCCACACACCTGCTGGGCCCTGCTGGCCACCTGCCGCACCAACCTGGGAGTGACCCCTGGCACCACCGGAGAATGAGCCACACTGATGCTCGTGCGAAACCCCCGAGGGTATGCGTCACTTACTAGGGTCCATGTGCACATAGCCTCCGACTGTGTGCCCACACTGTGGCTGAGATGTCAGCGACTGTTCGCCACATTCATGGCTGCCCTTCTCTCAGACTGATGGGGTTCCCCAGGTGGCGGCCATCACACCTGCCCCCGGTGAGGGCACCTCCCTCCTGCAGAAGTCCTCTGGGGTGGATCCTCAAGGCTTAGGGTCTCATCTTTCTGTCTGGATCTGGAACTGCTCTGTCTCCTGGCAGATAATTCTCCAGGCGCCTAATTCTGTTCCAGGGCCCGGACGCCCAGCCCGACCCTCGTCCTCCCCGAGACAGCCTGGGAAGGGGCAGGGGGTCCCCTGTGCCCTCCAGCCCCTCAGGGACCACAGCACAGCTTTCCTCTTTGGTGTTTATTGGTTCCAAAGGCCAGGCTTTGTCCCAGGGGAGGCTGAAGGGGCTCATATCTTTTGGGCTCCATGGACAGGGCGGTTCATGTGCTCGGGGGAGGCCAGGTAGGCCTTGAGCTTGGGCCGGGCTCTGAGGCGCGCCACATAGGCCAAGAGCAGAGGGTGGGAGTCCAAGCAGCCAGGGGCCAGGACCTGGTGATTCAGCAACAGGTCCAGCAGGTTGTAGTCGGCGAAGGAGATCTGCAGGACAGAGGTCAGAAGAGGGCTTGAGCAGGGTCAGAAGAGGAGGGGCCGCAGGGAGCCAGGACCCTGGCTGCTCCAGCGAACCTGCCGTGGCTCCCCTCTGGGCCTCAGTGTGCCCTTCTGAGAAATGGATCTACCACGGGCCGGACCCAGCACTCACCTGGTCGCCCACAAGGAAGGCCTGGCCCTCCTGGTTCTGGATCAGCAGGGTCTCAAAAGGCTTCAGGTGCCCCGGCAGCTCCTGAAAATACTTGGCCTTGCCCTCCTCCTGCAAAGGGCAGTGATCCAGTGGCAGCCCCCAGCATGCTTGGCCTGGGTGAGCTCCCGGGCCCCAGCCCTGAGTGCTTACGTAGCTCCGGTAGATGAGCCGGCTGCAGAGCCTACGGACGTCCTCCACGCCATCGTTCACCATGTCCACCAGCGCCGCCTCCCGCTGGTCTTTGCCGTAGAGCCCTGGGTCAGCAGCCAGGCAGTGGATCAGGTTCAGGGCTCAGGATGGGGTGCCCAGGTCCCTCGATTGGGAAGGCCCGCTCTGCCCAGCCCTGCCGCTCCCATCTCCAAAAACCCAGAGGGCTCAGTCAGTTGGGTGACCAACTCTTGATTTCAGCTTGGGCCGTGATCTGGGGGTCCTGGGATCAGGCCCTGAATAGGGCTCTGAGCTCAGTGTGGCATCTACTTCTCCCTCCTCCTCCCTCTCTGCCCCTCCCACCGCTTGCAAGCACCAACTTGCTCTATATAGCTCTCGTGCTCTCTCAAATAAATAAATAAAATCTTAAATAAAAAAAAAGAGCCCAAGGGGACATGCCCAGCTGAGGACCATGCCCCTTCGCGGTCACATCCTAAGTCCCGTTCTGAGACTCAGGAATTCCCTGCCCAAATGGCCCCAAGCTCCCTTCCCCAGATCTGTCCCCCTGCAAGGGCGAACCAAGCCTCTGGTGCACGTGCCCTGGGCCGGAGGGGCAGCTGTTTGTGGTGCCCGGACAGCACTGGGCTGTGGGGACTGGTGGGTCCATGTGCAGCACAGGAGAGCACAGGGGCAGGACAAGGTGGCAAGCCGTGGTCAGAGGCCTTCGTCCTCCCGCCCTGGGTCCCACAGAGGTCAGGGCAGGCTTGGCCTGGCTGTGACTCCTCTGTCCCCTTCCCTGATTGCCACATCCTGCTGGGACCCAGAGCTGGTCTAGACCCCCCAAAGTTAGCCAAAAAAGAGGCAGCTACCTCTCTCAGCCATGTGCCTGCCACCATTATAACAAGGCCACAGGCTTGCTCACTGCGAGCATGGGTTTTCTGGATTCAAGAGAGGCCAAAACAGGAAAAAATGGGCAGGAGGCCTACTGGACACACCTTAAGTGGCCTCTAGCCTACACCAGCACATATGCGGGGGCTGGCGGCCTCCTCGGAGTTGTCCTCTGGGAAACGGGCACCGTGAATGCATCTGGCACCATCTGGCTGGCAGAGCTCTCCTAACCCAGGCCCTGCCCCTTCTTTTAGGGTCATCTGGCCTGTCCTCCATGCGGGAGGACTTCTGGTTCTCAGGACATCCACGTGGGACCCATCGGGTACTCTGCAGGACTGGACTGCCCATGACCTCAGAACTCACCAAAGGTGCGGCCCAGGTGTCGCAGGATGGCATTGGACTGGTACAGGGTGAGGTCTCCGTCCTGGAACTTGGGGAGCTGCCCATACAGCTGGGGAGGGCGTGGCATGGGTCAGTAAGAGACGCTGAGCTCAGCTGCCCCCCACCCTGGTTTTGCCCCACGAAGGCCCAGCACCTGTCCCCTGCCAGGGCGCAGTCACTCACACAGGAGGCCTTGAGCGGGCCCTGCAGCCAGCTCTCCTTGGTCACCACCTCCTCCTTCCAGCTCTGGCCCTGGTCAGCCAGCAGCATGCGCATGGCCTCGCAGCGCCCTGGGGGAGGGGAGAACGGGGTGGTGGGATGTGTGCAGAGACCCCAGCCTCACAGTGCCCTGGGGAGGGGGTCAGGAGTGTGGGGACCGGACAGAAGCTTCAGAGCCTGCTGAAGAGATAAGCCACGGAGGAACAGTGGAGACCATGGAGAGGGAGACAGGCGGAGACCCCAGCCCATGGTGCCGCAGGATGCGGACAGAGTGAAGCCAGCCAGGACACCGAGAAGATGCGGCCCTGGGAAAGCCGGACCTGGCCCCGCCCCCGCCCTCCCGGCCCCGCCCCACGACCCGAGACGCCTTGTCCAGCCTCCGGCCTCGGCGGGACCCCAGGAAGCAGCCTGGGCGGGCGGCCTGGCTCCGCCTGTGCCCTTCGCCCTCCTGAAGGAGCAGGGCCCGCACCTCGGGTGGGGAAGTAGAGGATGGTGTAGGGCGGCACTAGGAGAGACAAACAGACAGGGCGTGAAAGAGGATCCCCCCACGGAGCTGCACCGAGAAGGGGGTGGCTCAGCCTGGGTCCTGCCCCCCGCCCCCAGCGTGGTGCAGACCCTACTCACTAGGTCGCGGTGACGTGGAAGAGCAAGCAGCAGGAAGTGGCGGCGAGCCCAGTGGTCTTATATTTATGGTCTGTTCCACACACACCCCCCTTCTCGCCCCACCCAGGAATGCACCGAGTCCCTGAGCGGAGCTTGGCCCTGGGCAAGGCTGGGTGTGGCGGGGGCAGGGCCGGACAGGCTCACCTGCACCTCCGCGCCGTGTACCCTGCCTGAAGGGTACTGACTTCAGCATCACACAGCAACTACCAGCATCCAGGCCACACCCAAACCCACAGAACTGCTCAGGGCCCCCAGACGGCCGGGTCTGAGTCCCCAGCTAGCTGCTGGGTCCCCAGCACCAGCACACAGTAGGTGCTCATTAAATGCTTCTTGCATGAATGAGTGCAATTTCGATAGGCATATCCATTTACACCTCCTCTCTCCGGAATAATAATTACGGCAAACCCTTAGGGACTGAGGACTGTGTCGAGGACTTTACAGAGATTACCACCCGAGGACTTGGTATTGTTCTGATCCTCATTTTACAGAGGAGGAACTGAAGCCCAGAGAGGTTAAGTGACTTGCTCAAGGTCACACAGCTAGGCAACAGGACTTAGAGCCAGGGTTGGCCAGCTTCAGGGGCCTCACTTTTAACCTTCAGTCTTTCTTCTGCAAAGGCTTGTTATCTCCAAACCATGTTTTGTCTGAGTCTAAGTGCTAACGCACTCTTCAAATACCAACTGGACCTGGGGATATGGGTGGATGGAAAGACAGACAGACTGAAATGGGCAGGACCTCCTGGGCCTGAGGGGGGCTGTGTTCTTCCAGGCAGAGCCCAGTGCCTGCCTCCCTGCGGGGCCCTTGATGGCACCCCCAGCCCACTTCCGGCTGCCCCTTCCTGGGTGGGGGCAGGGGTCGAGGGATGTCTCAGTGGGGGTGGTGGTCATCCCCGGGAACTGGAGCCTGACTGAACCAGACGTCTCTCAGCCAGTTTTTCCTGTCAGAGCCACCAGGAGAGAGGAAGGTATCTTTCCCTGGGGCAGTACCCACCTAAAGCCTGGGGGGAAAACCCAAAAGTGCCTAATCAGCAGCATCCCTTAGCCTCATTTGAGCCCACAGCTGCCTGGGGCTGGGAGGGGTGGGGGAGGTGGGGCCAGGACTGGGTTCTATCCCTGACTCACAGCTGGAGGAACATCTGCCCGGCACTTAGCAGCTTACAAAGAGCTTTCATGAAAATGGTCTCATTTCATCTCCACATCCTGAGAGGGAGGGAGCCTTGTTCGCATTATACTGATGAGGACACCAAGGTTCACAGAGGTTCATTCACCTGCTCTGGCCTGGAACATTCATGCCCTCCCTTTGCACACAAGCATCAAAGGCCTGGGAGACCCCTCCCTGCCTAGTGGGCCAGCCTCCTGCCAGCTCACACCCTCCAGCCATCACACTCAGGCTGTCTCCCAGCTCAGCTCGGCACTATTCGGTGGTGTTCCAGGGGGCTGCTTTTACCCACAGTCCTCTGGCTCCCCAGGCAAGTCGGTGGACTAGCTCCGTGGCCTAGCTCCGTGGCCACCCCGGGGCTTCCTCCGCTGGGGTCCAAAAGCACAGTTTTCCCAGCCCAGTGGGCCAGGAACCTCCCTGTGCCCATCCCCGCACCTCCAGTCCACGTGTATATCAGCACCTGTCTTTGGCAGTTTTTAAAAATATAAACAAACCGCTTTGTTGCTACTTAGATTTCACCCTTATAAAGTGTACATTCAGTGGTTTTAGTATATACAGTGTTGTGCAACCATCACCACTAAGTAGTCCCAGCACATTTTCATCACCCCCCCAAAAACACCCTGTACCCATTGGCAGTCACTCCTCATGCCCCTCCTCCCAACCCCACTAATCTAGTTTGTTGCTATGGATTTGCCTATGCTGGGTATTTCATATAACTGGAATCATACACTCTGTAGCCTTTTGGATCTGGCTGCTTTCACTTTGCAGAATGTTTTGGGGTTCATGTATGTCATAGTGTGTAACAGTGCCTCATTCCTGGGGTGCCTGTGTGGCTCAGTTGCTTAAGCGTCTGCCTTCGGCTCAGGTCATGATCCCAGGGTCCTGGGATCGAGCCCCACATCAGGCTCCTGGCTCAGGGGGGAGCCTGCTTGTCCCTCTCCCTCTGCCTCTCCCCCTGCTCATGCTCTGTGTGTGTGTGTGTCTCTGTGTCTCAAATGAATAAATAAAAATCTTTTAAAAAAATAGTGCATCATTCCTGTCTACAGCTGGGTAATATTGCGTGACATGAGCATACACATTTTGTCTACCCATTCCTTCAATGATGGACATTTGGGTTGTTTCACTTTGGGGCTTTTATGAGTCAGGCTGCTATGAACATTTGTGTGCAAATTTTTGCAGGAATTTATGCTTTCAATTCCCTTGGGTACATACCCAGGGGTGGACTTGCTAGATCACATGGTAGCTCATTTTGAGGAACTGCCAAACTGTTTCCCGAAGTGGCCGTACCATTTTGTAAACCCAACAGCAGCCTGCGAAGGCCCCAACTTCTCCACGTCTTTACCAACACTGCTACTGTCTTTTTCACTTTAGTTATCCTGGTGAGTGTGAAATAGTATCTCTACATGGTTCTGTGTGCCAAGCCTGGGGTGACTTGTGGGGAACAGGGTGGAGAAGGAGCCATCTTCTTTGCCATCAGGAGAATCATAGCTCAGGGCTGCCTGGCTGCCTCAGTCGGTGGAGCATGCGACTCTTGATCTCGGGGTTGTGAGTTCAAGTCCCAAGCTGGGTGTGGAGCCTACTTAAATAATAATTTTTTTTTTATAAAAAGAAGAATCACAGCTCAGACTGGAAGAGATAGACACAAGGTTTCATTCACACACTGACTAGTATGTATCAGGCTATGAGTGGGCTAGGCATCATGGCAAACACCACAATAGGTAAGATATGGTCTCCATTCTAATTGACTCTTTCAATGAAGAATATAAAGCCTTCATGAGCAGTCCATCCACCCAGCCATCTATCTACCTCCATCCATCTCTCTGTCTGTCCATCTATATACCCATCTATCCAATCGTCCACCTATCCAACAACCAAACGTTTGACCAGCAGTCCATCAGAACATCTACCTACTTCTCTCTCCATCCATCCAGCTACCCATTTACCCACCCAGCCATCCTCCACCTGTCTATCCATCCATCTACCAACTATTTAACAACTAGCCTATCAAATCATCTACCCATCCTTCCATCCAGTCAGCTGCCTATCTGTCCGTCCATCCATCCATCCATCCATGTCTGTCAACCACTGATCCACGTGGACATGCTAGGCACTGGAGCTGGAGCTCCAGCTTGGCTAAGTTGGATTGGGCAAGTCAAGGGCATCAAAATGAATACCCTAGTATGTCGTTAATTGAATACAAGTGAGGAAGGGTTTCCAAGCCGGACTTTTTCCACCTAGATACAAAGGCTTTGCTTCTTGATGCAAAACACTTTTATCCACTATACTCTGACCAGTTTATGCCCCCACTACTTGGGTTTATACTTTGGGGCACACATTTCTCCCACTTCCCACCTTCTTAGATGGTCATTTGGACACAGGCTCATTCGTCACACGTGGCATCCACCATTTTTTGAGCCCTTCCTATGTGCCAGGAACCTGCTAGGTCTTTTACTTAATTTTCACAAAGGTACCAGGAGGCCTAGGTCAACCGCCATTTTCCAGATAAGGAAACTGGGGCTCAGAGAGGTGAAATACCTTGCTGAGGGCCACACAGCACACAGGGAAATCCCAGCCTGTAGGCCTTCTATAAGATCTTGCAGAAAATGCTAGAATTCCTGCGTCTGAAGGATGCTTGCAATGCTGCCTGGGATGTAGTACCCTTCTGGCCTCCAGGAGGAGGCGAAACCCTGAGGGCAGACAGGAAGGTTGCAGGCTGGGGAAGGCTGAACCTTCAAGTGATCAACTTGAGTGGTCACAAGGAGCCCTTCCCACCCTTGGCCACTTGGCCGGCGTCCGCTCACTTCTGAATCCTGACCCTTCCTCAGATCCTCAGCCATGCTCAGGGCTGGAGGCTGCTCCCTCTGCCTGCTGGCCTCCCTTCCCTTCAGGTGGTCACTCCCACCATCTCTCTGGTCTTGGCTCCCACGCCACATCCTCAGCCCCTGTCACAACAAGGTCTCATTCTCTTCCCCCTCAACAGCCTGTTCTCCTCCATAGTCATTCTGGGCTTGCTGAATGTGCATCCCCCACTGGCTGGAAGGTTCCAGGAGGCAGGGACTGGTTCCCAACACCCGGGAAGGCACATAGTAGGTACTCCATGACGCTTGTTGAAGATACAGCCCCTCTGAAATTTTCTCTGGCCTCTTGCCACCCATACCCTCTCCAGGGGCTACTGACTTCTGCCTCCCTCCTGAGGGCCTCTACCTAACATACCCTGCTGGATGCCAGTTCCTGGAACATTCCACATTCACAGTTGATCCCTGCTGGGGTCCCAGCGCTCATTCAAGGCTGAGCACGGGTTAAACCTTAGTAGGCAATGCCTAAAAGGCTGCCCCATCCTCTCTTCTCCTCCATGAAGCCCCCCTGTTGTCTGGGCCAGTGCTCCCAAGCACCTGGAGACTGTCTGTGGCCCTTTCCTGAGTTCGATGTGCCTGGGAGCAGGACCCTCAGGACAGACCCAGTCTGTATAGCCCCTGAGGCTCAGTCCCAGCTGGCCTCAGATGTTTGCAAAAGGAATACATGAATGGGTGGCCAGCTCGTGTGGCTGAGCAAGGCCAGAGCCACCAGCTCGGGTGGCAGGTGTCTGGCGGGATCTGTTTCCCTCAGACAAAGGCTGGCGCAGGGAGCAGGTGAATAAATCATGAGGGGCCTGGAGCAGAGCTGGGGCAGGACAACTGACCTCATTGTGGGAGGCAAAGACCAGGCAGCTGGGCAGGAAGAGGGCTGAGGGCATAACAAAGGGGCACAAGAGGCCAGTGGGGGCTGTCTGGCCCAGCCCCACATTTCACCCTGAGGAGCAAGAGGTTGGAGGTCAGCAGAAGGTAGGTGGGAGGTGCTGGTAGAAGGTGGGGGGATTCAGAGCTGCCCTGGGGCTCTGGGTGGGGAGAAGGGGGCATGTCTGGGGGCAGGCTCGAGTTGGGGGGGGGCTGTCTTTCCAGAACCCAGGAGTCATCCTGGGAGGGGGGATGGTGGGGAGAATAGGAAGAGCAAGGGTGGACAGACAGAAAGACGGACAGACCAATGTGAGAGAGATTCTCATGCCATCGAGGGAGGGAAGGACAGAGATGGGCATGTGCAGTCAGAGAGACCCACAGAGACACAGCTGGACAGATGTCAGCAGGGCGCAGGGAGTGGCATGGGGCTGCAGGTGGGATAGACACAGAGCTGAGGGCTGAGGGGGCAGAGGGGGCAGTGAGCAAGACAGAACAGCAGGGAAGCGAGCATGGGGGTTGCAAAGACCAGGCAGCTGGGGGTCTGCAAGGGCGGCCCAGGGTGGGGGGTGCCCAGGGCTCAGTCTGTGGCCAGCATGGGGCTGGAGGCAGGTGGATTGGGGGAGGGACTGTGTAAGCAGCTTGGGGAGCTAGGAAAGCTACAGGATTTGGGGGCCCTGGGCCTGTGGAGAGAGGAACAGAGAAAAGAGTAGCAGGGACCCTGTGGGACCCCACCCACAGCTGCCCACTAAGCCACCCTCCCACAGGAACTGGGCGACCAGAGTGGGAGCAGGAGGCCCCAAGCCCCCGTCTCCATGGCCCTTCCCCAGGGCCAGGCAGATGGCAGTCTCCCCGCGGGGGACCCCAGCCCCTCTGAGGGCACTCCCGGGCCCAGCCAGGCTCCTGCCAGCCCAGCAGCCACCAGGAGGCGGGCACTCCTCAGGGAGCTGGAGGCCCAGGTGCAGGCGGCCTACGGGCAGGTAAAGGGGACAGGGGTGTGGGGCATCTGAGGGCACCATGAGGGAACAGCGGGGACCCCACACTCTAACGAGGGCCCTGTAGGACAGATCCAGGGCAGAGCTCAGGGAGGGGACCCGGAACGTGCATTTTGATGGAGGGCTCCGTGGGTCTGTCAGCTGCCCAGGAGGCTGGTGTCTCTGCCCACTTCTGCCCTCATTGAGCCCTGCATCCAGCCCACAGCTCCCAGAGTTGGCCCCCTTCCACTCTTCACCTGAGTACAAGGGCCAGGCAGGGGTGCCAAGGGCAGCCAGGGTGGGCAGGTGCTCCAAGGTGAGAGCAAGGGTCCTGGCAGGGAGGGGCAGGAACCTCCTGGACTGGGCCAAGATTGCCTCCTCTCAGGACAGGGAGTAGAGGGAGGGTGTGCCGAGTCCATACGGAGGGCTGGTGTCCCAGCCCTCCCCGGCACACCAGGCACCTGATGTCCTCCCCCCAGGTCCAGGCCCTGCTTCTGAAGACATTAAATCTCTACTGATTGGGGGAGATTACGGGTAGGGGTTGGGGGAGAAAGCGCTGGAGAGGTGGTATCTGGAAGACCCTCAGGAGTGAGCACAGGGAGGCTGTGCCTTCCAGGGGGCCTTGGGTCCTGAGTGGCCCCCCTCACCAGCAGAGATGCTCAGAGATAATCCTGGATTAGGACCCAAGCCCCCGTGCCCAGGGCTCCCCGCCTGCCCACCCGCTCCCAATCTTCCCCACAAAACCCTAGGAAAATCCCCTGCAGTGCTCCCAGACTCTCACTGGGAGCAGCTGGGGGCTGGTAGGAGCCCACAGCATCCACTGAGGCCCAGGCCTGGGCTGCCCCCAGGACTCCAGGCCTGGCATGGTTCAGGAGCCCATGGGAAACTGTGCCAAGTGGCCTCGACACCGGGGCCCTAAGGTAGGACGGCTAAGGGGGAGAAGCCAAGGCCAGGAGACCAGGCTGTAGCCTGGAAGGGTCAGGTGGGGTGGGCAGAGCCCCATGTGAGGGCTGGGCTGGGGTTAGAGATAGAGCATGGCAGGGGGATAGAGGGGCTGGTTCCCACTGCCCTAGACCAATCCAGATTTCCCCGGGGAAGGCCCCAGACTCTAGCCCCTCCCAAGGACCGCTGGGCCTTCCCTGCCAAGCTCATCAGGCCCCCCAGCTGCCCATCCAGCTGCCTGTGCCGGCTGCCCCTGCCCTCTGCTAGTCAGAGATGGGACGTGCAGAGCTTGAGCTCCAGGTCCCATTCCGCCACCAGCTTTCTGAGTGACCTTGGCCCAGTCCCTTCCTTTTCGGGGGGCCTCGGTTAGCCCAACTGAACAATAAGGGGATGGACACTTCAAGCCTAGAGTGTTGATGGGTGAGAGCCCTCACTGTCCTGGGCCGGGTTTTGATGGGTGAGAGCCCTCACTGTCCTGGGCCGGGTTCCAAAGACGGGAGAGGCTGGTAAACGAGGGCGGAGGGGCCGCTACCCCAGCTCATAGCTGGCTTTGCTGCAGGACCACTGGCAGTGGCCCAGCTCCCCCCCAGGGGGCTCCCGCCACAGCCCCGGGCCCGGCCCTGAGGAGCAGGGGGGCCCAGGGCCGGGCATCCAGGGCTACTCGGTGCTCAACAGCCTGGTGGGGCCCGCCTGCATCTTCCTGCGGCCCAGCATCGCCGCCACCCAGCTCGTATGTACGGCCGCCCCTGCCTTCGCCTCCTCTCTGCCTCTCCTTGAGTAGGGGGGAGAGGATGGAGTGGGGTCTTCGGAGCAAAGGCACACTGATCCAGGGGGTGGGGCAAAGAAAAGTGGAGACACAGAAACAAGATCAAACAGGGGGAAGACCCAGGGAGACACGCCAGGAATGAGAGAGGAGAGGACAGAGAGAGACCCGGAGAACCTCAGAGACAGCCACCAAGGGGGTGGGCAGGGAGGCTGCAGGGCCTCCAGGAGAGGGACAGAGAGAGAACAAGAGACATACAATGACACTGAGGTCCCCGGGGCCAAGTCTGAGGTTCTGCCCGACCCCAGATCCACTTCTGGCAAATGGAGCTCTGAGCCCTACAAGAGGGTGGGGGCAGGAGGTGGGCCCTGGGAAAGATCTGGGCAGGGGGCAGGGAAGGGGGGGCCCAAGACACCCAGGCCAGTCAGCAGAAATGGGTAGGAGCAGGTCTGAGCAGTGTCAGACAGACACAGGCCCTGCCCACCCCGTTGGGGGTGCTGAGTGGGGGGGCCCAAGAATCAGAGGAAGGGGTGCAGGTGCCTGGGTGGCCCAGGGAATTCTTAACCTCTCTGTGCCCCCCAGGACCGGGAGCTGCGGCCAGAGGAGATCGAAGGTAAAGGGTTTTTGAAAAGACTAGAGTCTCCAGAGGGGTGGGCATTGGGTGGGGCCTCAGCTAGTCTCCAGGAGGAAGTAGGGGCAAGGAGGAGGCTGCGGGAGATCAAGGAGATGGGGACCACTGAACGGGGAGGGGTTGACAGAGCCCCCAGCTGCCAGTTCCCAGATCTCATCTGCCAGGCGGGTCAAGAGCCACTTTCATATTTGTTCACTCGACAAACACCTCCTGGGTGCTTACCGTGTGCCTAGCCCTGTGCCGGGAGCCCTGGGGAAGGGGGCAAACTGGACAGATGTGGCCCATGTCCTCCGGGGACAGATGTCAATAAGTGAACTATTAGTACAAATGGTGCGAAGTGCTCTCAAGGAAATGAACAAATGGGCTGGAGGGGACCCAATGTAGAGGGAAGACTTTCTTGAGTAGGTGACATAAGGACCAGAAGAGGGTAGAGTGTTCCAGAACGTGAGCTCCATGAGGTTAGGGATTGTTTCCTTTCCTTTCCCTCCCCTGCCTCCCTCCCTCCCTTCCTGCCGTATCTCCAGTACCTAGGGCAGAGCTTGGCCCATAGTAGGTGCTCCTTAAATATTTGTTGAAAGAATGAATTAAAGAAATAGCATGTGCCAAGATGCTCAAGTGGCAGAGAAACTGATGTTTACAAGGAGGAAGTGAATAGACCAAAGGAAGAAGGGTGTGCTGGTCCAGGCTGGGGTCCCGGGGGACGTGTGGGAGGAGCTGACCCCGCCCTGCCCGGCAGAGCTGCAGGTGGCCTTCCAGGAGTTTGACCGAGACCGGGACGGCTACATCGGCTACCGGGAACTGGGCGCCTGCATGCGGACGCTGGGCTACATGCCCACTGAGATGGAGCTCATTGAGATTTCACAGCAAATCAGTATGTGCCTCAGACCTGCCCCCCCCGCCCAGTCCTCCAGAGACCATGGCCATGGCTCAAGCAGCTGGGCCACCCGGGGAAGGCAGGTGCCCACACAAGTCGGCCCCCAGAGCCCAGGACCCTGCTCATTCTCAAGGCACTTTCTCTGCCTCTGAAGAATCTCACCATCCCCTACAAGGTGGGAAGGCAAGGACCATTATCCCCATTTCTAACATGAGGAAACTGAGGCTCTGGAAGCTTAAGTGACTTGGCTAAGGTCACAGAGCCAGGTCATTGGAGCCAGGACTTAAACCCAACCAAAGTCTTCAGGAAAATTAAGAAAAACCACCAGAAAACACCGATGATCCAGCTTGGGCCCCCTCAAGAGGGAAGGGCCCACTTTGTGGGGCAGGGGAGAGGGCCAGAGGCCAGGAGAGGCGGGCGGGGGCAGCCAGGGCTGGGCAGGGGTCCCTGATTGCTGGGGTCTCTGATGGGCATGGCCCCCAGGTGGTGGAAAGGTGGACTTTGAAGACTTTGTGGAGCTGATGGGCCCCAAGCTGCTGGCAGAGACAGCAGACATGATTGGCGTCCGGGAGCTACGGGACGCCTTTCGGGAGGTACGGCCACTGGGGCTGGAGGGCAGGCGGGGGGCCGCGGGTCTGCTGTGAGTGAGGCCTGAGTGAGTGAATGATTCGATCGGGGACTCAATACCACGACCAACGCCACCACAGTTTGACACCAACGGGGACGGCTGCATCAGCTTGGCTGAGCTGCGAGCAGCCCTCAAGGCCCTGCTGGGGGAGCGCCTCAGCCAGCGGGAGGTGGACGAGATCCTCCATGACATTGACCTCAACGGGGATGGCCTGGTGGACTTTGAAGGTACCACCCGCCACCCTCCGCGCTCAGTGCCACACGCCCTGGGAGGTTTTTAACGGGCAAGGAAAGGATAAAAGGAGCATTGTCACTGCGTGCCAGACCCCGGGCTGAGCACTCTATGTCCTCTCCCCATAAGTAGGACAAGAAAGTTAATTCTTGGGAAAGTGTGAATGCTTAGCAAAAGATGTGGATGGAGCCAAGATGTGAAGCCAGGCGAGCTGACCAGAACCCAGTTCTTGCTCTATGCTGGATTCCCACAGGGCGAAAACAAGGGTTAAATAATAATAGGAAGCCAAGGAAAATCAGTATGTAGAAATTCTCCAAAGTAGGCCCCAAAGTTGTTCCTGAGCTTCCTAGCAGCCAAAGCAAAAAGGGAAATAGGTTTAGTTACAAGGGTTTTGTTTTTTTGTTTTTTGTTTTCCCCATAAAACAAAGCCCCTCTTCTTAGCCCAAAGGCCTATTCCCTACCAGATTCAGAAGACTCCCTTGGGCGCCTGGGTGGCTCAGTTGGTTAAGCGACTGCCTTCGGCTCAGGTCATGATCCCAGGGTCCTGGGATCGAGTCCCACATCGGGCTCCCGGCTCGGCGGGGAGCCTGCTTCTCCCTCTGACCCTCTCCTCTCTCATGCTGTTTCTCTCTCGCTCGCTCTCTAATAAATAAATAAATAAAATCTTTAAAAAAAAAAAAAAAAGAAGACTCCCTTGCAGGCCCCGCCCTGGACCGCACTCCCTCCCACCTCAAGGCCAGTATATTGGTCTCACAGCGATTGGGCTCCAGAGAGCAGACCTGCAACCTTGGCTTTGTCCTGGCAGAGTTTGTGCGAATGATGTCTCGCTGAGCCTGCACAGAAGCTGGAGGCAGCAGACAGGACTTGGGACCACAGCCAGGAAGCCCCCTGCCTCCAAATGACCCTCCCCCTCTCCTTCCTACCCTGCCTGTGTGTAACACCCCGGCCTGCCCTCACCCCCACTGCTTCACCAAGCCCCCATGCCCATCCCTGTCTCTCTAACAATAAAGTATCTTGGGGCCTGGGGAGATGGCTTTTACCTCTCACTTTTGTACCCTGGAGGACCCAGTCTTTGGCCCCCAAAAGTTAGGTCCTGGGCTGTAAGACCCCTCGACTGTGAATTCCAGGTGGACAAGGGCCTTTTCTGGATCCTGGGCCCATCCCAGAGCAAGTGTCAAGAAACGCCACCTGCGGGGCACCTGGGTGGCTCAGTCGTTAAGCGTCTGCCTTCGGCTCGGGTCGTGATCCCAGGGTCCTGGGATGGAGCCCCGCATCGGGCTCCCTGCTCAGCGGGCAGCCCGCTTCTCCCTCTCCCACTCCCCCTGCTTGTGTTCCCTCTCTCGCTGTGTCTCTCTCTGTCAAATAAATAAAATCTTTAAAAAAAAAAAAAAAAAGAAACGCCACCTGCTTCTCCCAGAGCTGGGATGCACTCGGCCCCTCATCCTATAAAAAAGGCTCCTGCCAGGCCCAGGGTGACACATGCCCTGGCATGTCTGCCAGATTCTTCTTCCCCAAGTGTGACTTGCGTTGCGTCACACTCTTCCTGTTCAGGAGGGTCGTGACCCCCCCCCCCCATTGTCCCCAGGTTAATCCGGCCCCTGCTCCCGGCACCAGAAGGCTCTGGGAGGATGAGGGCTGGCATAGAGTCACACACAATTAGGACGAAGCGGAGGTGGGACTCACCCCCTGGCTCCAGTGCACGAGAGAGGGTGCCTCGGAGTCAGGGAGGCCCCGGGCCTCAGGCTCTCCTAGCTGCAGCAAACACCTGCTCTGCAGAGCGCTGCGTGACCCGCTGCTGTGCCTGCCCACCGGGAGGGAGGGGAGCCCTGACCTCCTGGTCAAGAAGGGGCGGGAGCTTTCAGCGCCCCTGCCTGGGCTTCACCATTCCCGCTGCCAAAAAGATGGCCTTGGGACGGAGAAGGCGGGCGGTTACTGGTGTCCCGGACAGCCCAGAGCCTGGACACCGAGGTGCCAGGGTTGGCTGCAGCAGCCTCAGCACCACTCACTCGCCCGGCAGATCCCAATTAATCCTAATACTCAATTACGGGATCTCTCTCTGGGAGCTGTGGTCCACCCTCGCTCCCACCACCCTCCGCCGGCCGGCCCAGATGGCACTGCTGCCTGAGATGTCTGTCCCCTCCGCAGGGGCTGGGGGTAGTATGGAAGTGTGTCGCAGGAAGACCAGAATCCCACTGCCCCATGGCTCCCAGCCTGGCAGGCTCTGCGGTTGGGGCAGGGGCGGGAGGCGACGATGGGATGGTCTTAATTGGCTGCCGTGTATCTGCTGGCACCAAACGTGCCCTTCTACCCCAAAAAGGCTGCTGGCCCGGAAGGTCCCAACAAGGTAACTGCTGGAGCTGGGAGCAGGGCCAGGAAGGAACAGTGAGTAGGCAGAGACTGTGCCAAGTTAAGAGCCCCTTCTCTGCTTAAAGGGGGCACCTGCCACCCAACCCCAGCAACTGTTGCCAGATGAAGCAGGCCGGAGCTCTGAGATCTTCTGATTTTCCAAAAGAAGCTGGAAAGTCAGATTTACGTTAAGTCCCCTTTAAATAGTTTGACTACTGATGATAGCATTCAATAAGGTGTATAAACCTTAAGTGTACAGCTCATGAGTTTTACATGTGTGTGCGCTCAGGTAACCGTCACCCACATCATGGTATCGCATCCACTTCTGTTATTTAGAACAGTTCTAGGCTTACAGAATTATCCTGAAGATAGTACAGGGAGTTCCTGTATACAGTCCACCTCGGTCAGCTTCTCCTGTGTTAGTCAAGGTTCTCCAGAGAAACAGAACCAACAGGAGATACGTGTGTGTGTGTGTGTGTGTGTAAAGATATTTATTGCAAGGAACTGGCTCAGGTGATTATGGGTGCTGAGCAGTCCCAAGATTTGCAATCAGGGGTGCCTGGGTGGCTCAGTCGTTAAGCGTCTGCCTTCGGCTCAGGTCATGATCCCAGGGTCCTGGGATCGAGCCCCGCATCGGGCTCCCTGCTCTGCGGGAAGCCTGCTTCTCCCTCTCCCACTCCCCCTGCTTGTGCTCCCTCTCTCGCTGTGTCTCTCTCTGTCAAATAAATAAATAAAATCTTTAAAAAAAAAAAAAAAAGAGATTTGCAATCAGCAAGCTGGAGACCCAGGAGAACTGGAGGTTCGGTTCCAGTCTGAGCCCGACAGCCTGAGAACCAGAAAAGTTGATGGTGTAAGTTCTAGTCTGCGGGCAGAGGACTGATGTCCTAGCTCAACAGTCGGGCAGGTGAAGTTCCCTCTTACTCAGCCTTTTTGTGCCATTCGGGTCTTCAACTGATTGGATAAGGCCCACCCACCACGGGAAGGGCCATATCTTCACTCTGCCAATTCAATAGATGATAATTGCACCCGGAGACACCCTCACAGACACACCCAAAATCATGTTTGACTAACTATCTGGACACTTGTGACCCAGGCAAGTTGACACTTAAAATTACCATCACACACTATTAATATCTCACATTAGAATGGTACATTTGTCACAGTTAATGAACTAAAACTGACACACTGTTATTAACTAAAGCCCATATTTTATGCAGATTTCATCATTTTTTCCCTGATTATCCTTTTGCTCTTCCAGAATACCATCCAGGACACCACATTACATTAGGCATCATGTCTTCTCAGACTCCTCTTGGTTGTGATAGTTTCTCAGACTTCCCTTGTTTCCTTATGATCTTGACAGTTTAAGTACGACTCCTCAGGTATTTTATAGAACATCCCTAAATTGGGATTTGTCTGATGTTTCTCTCATTAGTCTGGGGTTAATGGGTTGGCAGGAGGATGACCACAGAGGTCAAGTGCCCTTCTCAAGCCATCCAATTAAGGGTGCAGACTATCAACATGACATCACTATTGATGTGGACCTTGATCACCCAGCGTGAGGTAGTGTGTGTGTCACATTTCTACACTATAAAATTACTTTTTCTTTCTCCCATTATGTACTCCACTCTCTGGAAGAAAGTCACTATGTACAGCCCACACTGAAGGGGTAGGGGTTATAATCTACCTTATTAAGGGCAGAGTATCTACACAAACTACTTGGAATTATTCTATATAGATTTGTCTCTTCTCTCCCTTTATTTATTCAAATATATATATATATATTTGGGCTCATAGGTATTTATTTTGTACAAGTTATAATCCAACACTTTAAATTTTCAAATGGCTCCAGCTTTGGCCACTGAGAGGCCTTTCAGCTGGCTCCTGTGTCCCTTTGGCATATACCCATCATGGTGGCATTTGGGGTTTTGGGGGTTTTTGTTTTTTGTATTTTTAGCATTTTCTTACGTTTTGGTACTATAAGATGCTATAGGATTATCTTGTGTATTTCCTGCCCCAGTCTTAGAATTAGCCATTTCTCCAAGGAACTCTGGTTCATTTTATTGGAGAATGCCATTAGAAACCAAGACCTGGGTGCTAGGTTGCTTCTAGGCCCTCTCAGCAGATAGAGGAGATATGTATGTACGCTAATCTGTGTATATACAATTTTTAAATATTTCTCTATGCAACTGACTGTATCTATATTGAGCTAAACAAGGGTTCATATTGGGGCACCTGGGTGGCTCAGTTGGTTAAGCGACTGCCTTTGGCTCAGGTCATGATCCTGGAGTTCTGGGATCGAGTCCCACATCGGGCTCCCTGCTCGGCAGGGAGTCTGCTTCTCCCTCTGACCCTCCCCCCTCTCATGCTCTCTCTCTCATGCTCTCTCTCTCTCAAAAAAATAAATAAAATCTTTAAAAATAAATAAATAAACAAGGGTTCATATTGATGTCTCCAATTCCAACCCATTATCACATGGATCAGGCTAGCCTCCTCCCCTTGCTTACCCGTCACTTCTCATTCCAACAACGAGAACTCCTCCATCCTAATTGACTTAATTTTCAATTCTGGCATATGTGTGCAGTGGTTTCAGAATTGTTAACCCATAGGCCAGGGAAACCACTTCACCAACTAGAGTACATGCTTACTTGCAGTTCCTTCGCATTCATTCTTACAGACTCCACTCATTTCCAGATTAGCACCTTATTCTCCCACCCCTTCAGTGAAGCTGTCTCATTCATTTATGATACAGCTAGATTCTTTTGTCACATTCTGCGTTCCCTCCTGGGGTCCCCTGACCTCCTCAATGATTTCTTTAATTTTGCATACATTAAAGTTTACTCTTTATGACAAATGCTTAATAGCTTGTATTCACCATTACAGTATCATACAAAATAGTTCCACTGTCGTAAAAAAAAAAAAAAATCCCGTTTTACCCATTTAATTCTATCCCTCCCACCCCTGGCAACCAGTAATTTGTTTACCTTATGTATACGTCTGTCTTTTCTGGACTGTCAGGCTTTTCAGACTGGCTTCTTTCACTTAGTAAAATGCCTATCTGTGTCTTTTCATGGCTAGATGATTTCCTTCCATCGCTGAATAAATAGTCCATTTTGTGGATATATCACAGTTTACTTGTTCATTCACCAATTGAATGCCACCTCCTCTGGGAAGACTCCTGTGATGTCCCCAAGCAGGCTCCTTCCTCTAAGTTCCAATGCATCCTCTACCAGTCTCCACACTGTCTTACCGTACAGTGTGTCTTTGCTTTCCTGTCTGTCTCTCCTTGAGACTAGGAGCTCCCTGAGGACAGAAGCCATGGCCAGTTTATTTCCATATCATCAGTGTTCGGCACAAGGCCTGGGATGGAGGATGGAGTCAGAAAATGTCTGTTGGGACACCTGGGTGGCTCAGTCGGTGAAGCGTCTGCCTTTGGCTCAGGTCATGATCTCAGGGTCCTGGGATCAAGCCTCCCATCGGGCTCCCTGATGCTCAGCGGGGAGTCTGCTTCTCCCTTTCCCTCTGCTCCTCCCACCTGCTCGTGCTCTCGCTCTGTCTCTCTCAAATAAATAAAATAAAATCTTTAAAAAAAGAGAGAGAGAAAAAAAGAAAATGTCTGTTGGATGAATGAATGAATGTCCTGGAGATGAGGAAAATCTACAGACCTGGGGCATGAAGGGTACACAAGGCCAGTGAAGTTTTGAGGAGAAGTAGCCCGGCAGAAAGGGTTACCGTTTGGAGGAGAGTCTAAGATCTAGGGTTGTGAGGAATGAGATTTGAGGGGAGGGGTCTGGATGGAGAAATGGACAGTAAAGAGGACAATGAAACAAGCTCCTTATGAATATTCATTTATCCACACAACAACCCTGCAAGATAGTTATTATTAACGTCCGCATCTTAAAGATGGGGAAACCCAAGCATATTGAGGTGAGTAACTTGCCCAAGAGGAAATCGCTGATGGGGGCGGTATGAGATCCGAACCATCAGCCTAACTCCAGTCGGTGCTCTCACCCAAGATCAGTCTGGCACAGGGCCCGGGGTGCGGTGAGTATTCAACGGAGGTGAGCGTTCCTGCTGTTGTCAGTATGAGGCACAGGTTCGGAGTCTTGGGGGACAGGTTGAGGGGTCTTTGAGGTCGCCATCGGATCTAACATCAGCCTGGACCGGAGGACGAGGCAAATTGGTAGAGGCGCGGTGGTAGCGTTGGTGAGGGATCCGTTGCCATAGGAACAAACGAAGGCTTTAGGAGGGCGCATGCGCAGACCGGGGAAAGGTTGTTGAACCGGTGAAAGGTGACGTAAAAGCGCACGGGGTGAGACGCAGGGCTCCGAACGTCAAAGCCCTGCGTCCTCCGGCACTCAGAGCGGTGGAAAGGCGCGCTCGGTGGTGGCGGCGGCAGCGATAGCAGGCCCAGCTGGACCGACACCAGGCAGTGCGAAGCTGACGTGCAAAGCAGCGCGAGCGAAGCGTGAGGGCGACGCCCGCGCCGGGAAGACCCCTCCGCGCGAACCGCGGCCGAGCAGACCCGGGTCCCGGCTTCCGAGGCCCCGCCTCTCGGGCCTTGGGACTAATCGGATTGAGAGCGCGCCGGCCCGGACCGCGAACTCGCCAATTGCGTAAGGCGTCAGCTACCGCCCAATCCGGAGCAGACAGGTGCGAGGTCCGAAAGGCGGAGACCAATCAGCAGCGGTTGCGGCCTGTTGGGGTCGGTCTCGGCCAATGAGGAGGCCCGAGTGACGTCCTGGCGCACCAATCGGGAGTGAGAGAGCATTGGTGCTCGCCCGCCCTTCCGGCCTGAGCTCTATTTACCAGGGGCGTGCGGCCGGTTTACCAATCAGAGCGCGGCTGAGCGGCCAAGCAGCCAACCCCGGAGGAGCGGCCGGCCGGCGTCCGCCGCACCCAAGAGTTGGGGATGTCCTACAAACCCATCGCCCCCGCCCCTAGCAGCACCCCCGGCTCCAGCACCCCTGGGCCCGGTACCCCGGTACCTACAGGTGAGGATCCAGCTCTACCCCTGCTCGTCTGCCCGGGTGGTCGAGGTCTCGAAGAGAAGACGGCCTGAGTTCTGCAACATTGGGCCTGCCGCCTACCCTCGCTGAGCCTCAGTTTGCTGGCCTGTGAAGTGGGCGTGGTCATGTAAGGGCTAGTTGGTGGAGCGCAGGGGGAGGGATTTGCCCCTGAAGTTGAGCGCCTGGAAGCATCCCTTCGGAGGGAATCGGGCGAATCCGGTCGGGGGTTTGGAACGCTGGGAGGAGGCGTCCCGGCCCCGCGCTGACCTCTTACTCGCGCATGTTGCAGCCGGAAGTGTCCCATCGCCATCAGGCTCGGTGCCGGGAGCCGCTGCCCCTTTCAGACCCCTGTTTAACGACTTTGGACCGCCCTCCATGGGCTATGTGCAGGTGAGTGGGGATTGCCTATGGATGGGGACTGGAGGTCCCTTCGGGGCCTGAACTCATTGTCCTGTCCTTTTTTGACATAGGCAATGAAGCCACCCGGAGCCCAGGGTTCTCAGAGCACCTACACGGACCTGCTATCGGTCATAGAGGAGATGGGCAAAGAGATCCGGCCTACCTATGCTGGCAGCAAGAGCGCCATGGAGCGCCTGAAGAGAGGTAAGTGAGGCCTCCACCCTCCCTGTTCAGGAGACTAACACTGGACAGTCCTTCCTTAGGAAAGGAAGGACATCTGGAGGCCACTTGAGCCAAGCCTAGACAAGGGCCGGTGTCACTATCCAGAGAGGTGTTTTGAATTGAATTGAAATTGAGCTCGTTTTCGGGGAAGGAGCCAGGGCATTTGTCTTTCAACGGGACAAATGTGAGGATTAGCCAAGCCGCTAATCTCGTTAGGCCCCTCATTAGATTATAGTCCTGGTCCCTTTCACTGAAAGGAAAGGGGGTGCGGAGGGAGGGGTCTTCCTGTGGAGGGCAGGGGTGGGACTGTGGAGGGCCGCTGTATGTTACTTGCCCATCCCCACCTCAGGCATCATCCATGCCCGGGCCCTAGTCAGAGAATGCCTGGCAGAGACAGAGCGGAACGCCCGCACGTAACAGGACGCAACTCCGCCACCGAGTCTGGACCTTTCCTGGCCACTGCAGAGCACCTGCTTCTCCCTGGCCTTCACCCCGAGTTGCACTTCCCAACCTGGGCTTCCTGTCCTGTGTCCTTTGGTGGGTGCCCTCCAGGAACCAGGGGGGCTCTCACTTCAGTCGACAGCACTGACTGGGACTCTTTCAAGAGTTAGTAGCGAGGTCGCTGTGAGTCCCACCCATGACCTGCCAACAGTGTTGATCCAACTGGAGCTTGCTCCTTTCTGTGGCCCCCACCACTCAGCACTTACCCAGGACTTTTCACCACTTTTCCCAGACTCCTCCCCTAGCAGGGCCTCCGAAGGCCTGTCACCTCCCTGCCTTGTCTCCTGGGCCATAGCGACTCTTTTTTCAGTGTCTTTTGCTAAGTATGCCCTTTTTGTATAAATAAAAGATAATTTGGAGTTGTTCTCTCACCTCTGAGTGTGGTACTTCTGCTAAGCCAGGAAGAAATTGGGAAAGACGAGACTCAGGGAGGGGAAAGGGGCGGTGCAGTGGTGGGAGAGAGGGCCACTGAGCCTGACCTTGCCTGGCCCCTGCTGTCCATTGGCTTGGGTGGGGACCCTGCCCTTCTCCAGCCCTCAGCCCTCCCAGTTGTAAGTAGTGGAAAGGGTTGAGCTCCAGTAGCTGAGAGCCCTACCCTCCTACACGTGGTGCCACCAGGGGGCAGCGCAAGGCCTTAACAGCTTCCCCAGCGGGAGGGCACTGTGGCCCGCCTGGGCCTAGAGGGTTCTCTGGAGAGGCAGTCATGCCTGGCAGGGTGGAAATGTCAGATCATGTAAGCCAGGCCCTCACATGCCTTCATGCCCTAACATCTTAAACTCCAAGTCAGCCCTGGGAGGCTCTGAATACATACTGACTCCTCAGAAGAGAGGGGGCACTGCTTCGTTCTCCCCAGCAGATGGGAAACAGAGCCAAGGGGAGAGGAGTGGCTTCCAACAGGGGTGAGACCCAGCCCCATGCTGCCATCCACTGTCCCAGCACCTTCTAGCTGGCTGGGTGTGGTCCCATGAGCCCAGCCCTCAGGTGTCTCAGCCTTTGCCCAGGGTCTGGTTGGCCAGACTTGTGGACCCGGAAGGCATCAGTGGGGAAAGCCGTGGGGCCCCACTCAGGGGCTAGACCAAGGTTTCAGAGTGACTACAGCCCTCTGCCTGTAGCTGAATGACCCTAGAGGCCTGGGGCACTGGAACCCCGGCCCCTCAGAAGAGGCAAGCCTTAAACCACTGCTTCTCGCCAGACTTTGCGGGCTGAGGCATTTCCCCTACCCCGGGTCCCAGGTTCGAGGGCTGGGGAGAATGGGGATGGGGTCCTGCCTTATTTCCAGGGCACCCAGAAGGGCTGGGCTAGGGTGGAGATAGGAACCACGAGTGCTTAGGGGATCCCAAGGAACATAGAAGGAGTAAAAAGCGCTAGCATTTGGAGAACTGCCTCTTCCCCGGCCGGCTTGGGGAAGGAAGGCAGGGGCCGCCCTCCTCTGCCGCGGGCGGGGCTGCCGGGACCCCGCGGGAGTGGGGAGGGCCAACCGGGCCCAGGAAAGGGGCGGGGCGGCCGCAGTGACGCGGCCGGCGGCGGGGAGGGACGGCAGGGGCGCCGGCGGGCGGACCCGGAGGAAGGTCGGGGCCATGGGCCCGCGCTGCGCCTCCAGAGGGTCCGGCCACTGCTGGAACCCGAGGCTGGGGCCGGGGGCGCTCCGGGCTCCGACCAACGGCCCGTCCGCCCCCGCCCGTACCGGGTGAGGGGTGCCCGCCCTAACCTAGAGGTGAGCCGGGACGTTGGCGGGCGGGCCAAGAGCGCGGCGGGGGACGGGGACGCCGGGGAGCAAAGGGAAGTGGGGACAATGGGGCCTCTAGCCTGTTCGCTGGGTGCGAGGTGGGGAGGTGGGAGGGGTGCCTGCGGCGGAACCGGGGCGCAGGTGGGCGGAGCGGGTCTCCCAGGGTGGGGGCCCGTGGGGTACCCAGTGGAGCCACTCTTGCCTCAGCCCGAAGAGGGGTCAACCCCGGGAAGGATGATGGGGTGGCAGCATAAACGAGTGCCGGGGGTCCAGGAGGGATGCTGAGGAGGGGAAGTCGAGGACCGGGCTGCGGGCCAGAATAGGGAAGGCAGGTCTGGGGGCCGGAGGGGTTAGTTATGTGGTCCTGGAAGGTAGGTTCGGGTGCGGGGGGTGGGGAACACTGACAGACGCTCAGAGGAGGAGCGCACGGATCTGCTCTGCGGAGAGCCACCCCGGGGGACAAGGTTCTAAGCGGATGTCTGGGAGTGGGGGACACGCGACCCCACCGAGTATGGGAAACGGGGTGCAGGGGGCGGGACCCGAGGGGCTGGTTGCGGAAGGCGGGCCAGGAAGGGGGGGACCGGGGCTTCTGGGGGCGCGGCCCCGCGGGATTTTGAGGGGGCTTGGGACGTGGCCGCGGCTGGAGAGGCGAAGGTGGCCCGTTAGCCCGCCGGCCCGCGCCCGCCGCTCCGGGGGGCCCGCGTCAGCGCGCGGTTGCCATGGCGACAGGCGGGCGGGGGACAGGGGCTGCGCGGAAAAGAGGTCAGCGCTCAGCCTCGCTGCGGCTCGCGGCCCCCGGCGGCGCTGGCGGCGGCGCTGGGCTCGCCTCTGCCTCCCCGGTGGCGGGCCCAGGCATGGGGTCGGGCGGCGCGAGTCCTCCGGCCCGCGCGCAGGGCTCGGGGCCGCGCGCCGCCGCCCCGCACTGACTGCCGCGCGGTGCCCTGCGCCAGGCGGAGCGGAGGCCGCGCGCGGCCGGCAGAGCACCTTCAGGATGCTCATCAAGGAGTACCACATTCTGCTGCCCATGAGCCTGGATGAGTACCAGGTGGCCCAGCTCTACATGATCCAGGTGAGGGCGGTGGGAAGCAGGAGACCAAGCGGGCCACACTTCATGATGGGGTAATGGCAGGAGCGCGCAGGCCGCACCTGGGACAAGGGGCTGGGCCCAGCTCAACCCCCATCAGCCCAGCTCTGAGCCTAGGGGAGGACAGAGAAGTACCGCTTCCAATGCGGGGGGTCGGGGAGGGGTGGCTGTGGGAAAAGGGGCAGAAGGGCCTAGCGGTGCCTCCCCATCCCCCAAGTGACTGGCCCCTGGTTGACGCACAGCCCACTTCTGATCTCCTTTAATCCTCCTTAGAATCCTAACCCCTTGCGGGAGGGAAAGGAGTGCATGAGGAGGCAAGAGCGAGAGGCAGGGAGCCAGGAGGGGTGCTAGGTGGTAGAGAAGACTGGAAGGGGGTCCCCAGAGGGTGCATGATCCTGACAACCCCAGGTGGTCAGGGAGATGGGAATGAGGATCAGACCCCAAAACTGTGACAGACAGGGGCAGGCAGAGACCCAAGAGGGTGAGGCAGGGGTCTGGGCTTGGGAAGGTTGCAGCAAGGCAGGCTCTCAAGGCAGGAAAACTGTTCAGGGCCAGGGAGGCCTGTGTTCCCCAGAAATGAGGGTTAGGGTCTGAAGAGACAGGAGGGCCAGGATCTGGCCTCAGGGGGTTGAGTGAGCCAAGTTCAGGCTCCAGAGCTATAAAAGGGCAGGAACTTTGCTCTCAAGCTACAAGGGGTGTGGCAGGAGCTGGTATTGGGGTCCCAGAGAGGGAGGGGACTGGGGTCAGGTTCTCAGAGAGGTGTGGGCCCCTTTCACTGTCCTCAATTCTTCCAGCCCACCCTCCCAGGCCTCTTTGCTGCCCCTGGAGCACATGCGGCACACTCCTACCTCAGGAGCTTGTATTGACATCCCCTCCGCCTTGAATAGTTCCCCCCAGCCCCATGTGCACTCCACATCTACCCTCCCCCACTTCAAGTCATATTCACACTGTGGTCCTGTCATCTTCCCAGTGAGGCTTTCCCTGATCATCCTGTCATAATTGTACACTTTCTTCTTCCCATAACACTTAGCACTTCTAACATACCATGTCATTTGCTTCTCTTAAGTCCCTCCCTCCCCTGGAACCGAAGTCCCAAGGGCAGGCAGGGGTCTTTGCTTTGTTCATCAACAGGAGGTCCCAATGAATATAATCCCAATATGCCTGGAATAGAGCGGACAATAAGTACGTGAATGAGTGCTGGGTTGCGAGCCCTATGGAGGACTGGACAGCAGCTGTGATCCTGATCCCAGGGAGCTGCAGGGGACCCGGGTCGGGTTTCAGGGGGGTGGAAAGGCTGGGGCTAGGGCTTCAGCACTGTGCAGGGGCCAGGCTGAGCTGGGGACCCCAGGAGCTCAGCTGGGGCTGAGCTGCCCTTTCTGCTCTGCCCCGGGGTGCAGAAAAAGAGCCGGGAGGAGTCGAGTGGTGAGGGCAGTGGTGTGGAGATCCTGGCCAACCGGCCCTACGCGGACGGGCCCGGTGGCAGCGGGCAGTACACACACAAGGTGTACCACGTGGGCTCCCACATCCCAGGCTGGTTCCGGGCACTGCTGCCCAAGGCTGCCCTGCAGGTGGAAGAGGAATCCTGGAATGCCTATCCTTACACCCGAACACGGTGAGTGCGGGGCGGCGGGCCTGGGGCGACAAGAAGAACAGCCCTGGTGGGCACAGCAATGATCCTCACCCCTGACCTGTGCCCCAGGTACACCTGCCCCTTTGTGGAGAAATTCTCCATTGAAATAGAGACGTATTACCTGCCTGATGGGGGGCAGCAGTCGAACGTCTTCAACCTGAGTGGAGCTGAGAGGAGACAGCGCATCCTGGGTGAGGCCCAGGGCCAGTGAGGGGACCCCAGAGCCCCTCTCAGGCCACCTGCCACCTCAGTGGGCAGCCTCTGACAAGTCACGGGTTCTCTCCTGGCCTCGACTTCCTGGCCGTGGAAGGCTGCCCTCCCAATCCCAAAGCAGGGAAGGGGTGGCCAGGGGGTAGGGGACTGGTGTGGTTCAGTGCCACTGGACCCCCCCCCCCCCCCGTAGACACCATCGACATCGTGCGGGATGCAGTGGCCCCAGGAGAATACAAAGCAGAAGAGGACCCCCGGCTGTACCGCTCAGCCAAGACTGGCCGAGGACCGCTGGCTGATGACTGGGCGCGCACAGCGGCCCAAACAGGGCCCCTCATGTGTGCCTATAAGCTGTGCAAGGTCGAGTTCCGCTACTGGGGCATGCAGGCCAAGATCGAGCAGTTCATCCATGATGTCGGTGAGCACCCCGCCACAGGAGGTTCCCTTGACCCAGCATGCACCAGGCACCCTGTGTTTGAGCCAGGGATGCTCCCAGGCTACTGGGGACGCAGAATAAAGCCATCATTTCCATTCGATATGGCACTGAGGCAGAGGGGAGCAGCCCAGCCCAGCTGGGGGCCAGGGGGGCCTAGCCTTGAGGCATAGGTAAGAGTCAGGAGGGCAAGAAGCTGGGGACATGATCTCTGAGGTCCAGAGGGCTCTGACATTCAGAGATGCTGCTTTTCATCCGTTAAGCTTCCAGGATTCTCCAACGTTCTGT